TGTGGCAACACCAGCCAAAGAAGCCAACAAAGGCTCACGCATCGGCATTCAAGAAATTGGCTCCGAATGGGTATCTGCTCAATATGCAACTGGGAGGGAGTCACGAAACACAAAGTAGCTTCTTGTTACTACTAGTAACAAGTGCCACGCTAGTAGTAACAAGTGCCTTACTAGTAGTAACAATGTTTGCTATTAGAATTAAAGGATTTCACCAACCTCGTTAGACTCACCCGGCCCCTGCGGATCACCCGGGTGTGTTTCATGGTGACGCCCATTGGACCGCGCGGGTGCCCGGGCGATTCGACCAAAGCCGCTGGACCGCTCGGGCCTGCGCCGTTGCGCCGTTCAGCCACGAAGCACGTCGGCGAAGGGTAGCGCGAAACACGAGGGTGTCGGTGATCTGAGGGGTGTCACGAAAAAGAGTATCGATCATGAAAACATGAGAATTAACCTAAATCCAACCCAAAAAATACAACCTGCAAGTCGATTGGTGATCCTGTCGATGTATCTCATGTGTCCTATCCGATCTTCCGTGATCAGAAGAGGCAAAACACCAAAGAACCTAAAAAGAAAACGCTTGGTGTTTGCACAGGAAACGCTCGGAACACCATGGACCCCAATTCGACCCTGTGGCCAGTTCCGGAACGTCGAGCGCTGTGGCCAGTGCTACGCGCCCCGGTGGTGCTCGAGTCTGGACGTGGTCGGCGCCACCGCGCGGAGCGTTCTCCGGGGTCCCCAGCGGTAAGTCCGTGAGAAAGTCTTCGTCCCTCAGTCGAAACGAGCGGTGGACGTCCCTAGAAGTTTGCGGTGATGTTTCGCAAAGCCGATGGGTAAAGGTGACGTTTAAACATGCAAATGTGGTTGCAGGTCCTTTTTTCAAGTTTTTTTCTTGCTTTTGTTGTTGCTTTTTTTTCCGATCTGGCTGCACATATCAAATAAATTATCAAATATCGGGGTTGAAATTAGGGGAAATTAGGGGAGAGGGGTCAGACATGGTCAAACCCCAGATTTTGACGGTATACACTTATACAACATGGAACGGTCCAGCCAAATCCCAGGGATACAAAATGACAGGGCCAACCAACATGCAATGTTTGTTTCACTAAGCTGCTAAGCCCCATCAATCTATGGAAAATGCTGAGTAAACCATTGACAGTCAGGTGCCATTAATTTCACAATGTTTACATCAGATCTGATCAATTTTGGAGGCACCAAAAAGAGACTCATTTTGTAAGGCAACTGATCCGTTTGTAAGGCAGCTGCAGCAGCTCTTTTTCTGCAGCAGGTTTATCCAAGCCCATTGCTCACACAATTTTTTTCTATTCCATTGCCGGTGGCGCGGGTGGAGCGGGTGGAGCAGCTGAAGCGGATGAGCGGATGGAGCAGGTGGAGTGGGTGAAGCGGAAGACGCTGATTCCCTCTCGCAACTCCTTACAAAATCGAATGGTACATCGTTGTTACTTTTCCTTATAGAATGCACTGGTGATCACTGGTGCATCCACCATAATATAGTTTCTGCATCCAGTAAAGGGCCAGAATGATAGCCATCATAGACTCTTACAAAATTGAGATTTGTCCGAAAACAAACTTCTTACAAACGACATGGTCTGATCTTAAAACCCTATATCTCAAATCTTCACAACATGGTCACTCTAAAGTTGTTACAACATGGGTTTCCCATGATGTCCCTATTTCCCATGATTTTCTTACAACATGATACGGGTACAACCCCATGATTTCTTACAAAAGAATAGCCTATAGATACCTATAATTAGACATTCTATATGGGGCTTGGCCCCTACCATTGTGTAGTGAAAAATTTTAACCAGGACTATCAAATAAGAATTAATATATATATATATACATACTCCGCACGGCATCTTGACATGTTTAGTAGGAGTCCCGCTGTTGTTGGGAACTTCGGACGAAGACTCTTCGCAGCGCATTCCACGGGCCGAAAGGACCCTGGGCCGCCGGTCCGTCTCCGTTTCGATCGGTGCACATCGGTGGGACGGGATCTGCAGCGGGTCTGACAAACCAATCTGACCTTTGAATTCAGGAGAGAGAATTGGACGGAGGAACATCATCTCCCTCTTCCCTTCATTTTCCTTCGAAACATCTTAAACATTTGGTGAAAACAACGCCACCTGGACCTGTCATCTGCCGCTGCGCAAGCGCTGGCAAAAACCGTTGCAACGCACAAAACCCTTTCTGAACAAAGACTGAAGAGTCTAGGAATGATTCCATCAAGGAATGTCGAGTCCAAAGATGTTCAGAGGCCTTGGACACACTCCTCCTGCAAAATGTTCCCGTACTGAGCAACCAAGTGTCTCGTACAGCACGGTGACGTAGAGCATTTTACCCGTCAACTTATCTGCAATCTCCCGCCTGCAGGGAGAGTGGTTTTGGAGGGCGCGTATACGAGAAAGCACCACACCCTTGAAAATTGACGACATGGGATGTGTTCAGCCGTGAAACCTCACATCCAACCCTGAGCCGGTGAGCAAAAACATCAAAACTACGATCCGAGCGAACTACGATCCGACCTGATCGTTTTCGAGCGAACGATATAGACCCGAGTCGATTGTGCCTATCGATCTCTCGACTCGATGTGAGACCGACCCTCGGTCGCCGAGCGACCGACGAACGACCGGCAGAAGGACGCCACGAGGCGTGCCGAAGGGTTGTTGCGATGTAGGACGCAAACGGAGACGGACGAAACTGCGATTTTTTATGTTGAGCCCCAAACAGAATGACTTCCAGAATTATAGCAGTTGGGGTCGATCATGAGGGTCTGCTCACAGTTCTGCGACTCCGCCTCCAGCTCATTCTGGCATTGGGCTTTGGGATCAAGAGGTGTTCCACCTGCCGTGTCAGGCCGCCCGACAGAGTTAGACTCGACAGACCGAAAACACTTCAATACACCCAACAACACGGCAAAGGCTGTGGCTTATTTAGATCTGACAACTTGGAAGCCATCAAAATGGCTGTCACACACCAGGTTCATGTCAAACAGCCTATATTATACTTTATAGAGCATTGAAGTGGTTTCGTTCCTTGTTTTTTTCGTGTCGTTTTGAAAACACACCTTGATCATGACGCAGTGGCGAGGCTTGTTCATCTCAAAGGGCATGCTCATCAAGGCTGAGATATGTTCCTGCCGAGGTTCGAGACGCGGGTCACGGACGGGGTCGAAGACGACCCATTCGGCAGACTGCCAGCGACCCAGCAGGGTTTGCTTCGGCATCACGGATTGGTTGCAGCTGGGTTGACTGGCAGGAAACCCCGCACGGACTGGGCCCGGGCACAAGTAGGTCGATTCCATGTGCTCGATGGAGGAGAATCTATAGTTTGACTGCATCCATGGTCCTACAGCAACCAGAATAGTCACCACCTGATCACACTCACAGCCTCCCCCCAAAGAAGATCCACCAAGCGGACGTACCATGAAAATCCAGAAGCCTTGAGAAATGCAACGCTTTTGATCGAAACTCTTGAACCTGTCACACATCCTAACACATTCAGCTGATGTTCTCAACCTGTTCCTTCCTTCTCTGCCCCAACCTACCGCCGTCCCGCGCCACACTGGACCCACCTGAATCTTCCGGGTCCAAGTCCGCTCACTGTAAACCGCTCCGAGGGAGTTCTCCATCCAGCCTTTCACCTGGAGGTCGCATCCCAAAAGGAGGGCGTTCCAGATGGTGCAGGTGACCAACAAGCAATATCGTCATAACATGTCATAACTATCGTCATAGTCATATGGTCCTGGTGAATCTTCGTGAACATCATACATTTGGAGGTTGGCCCCACAAATTTTGCTCCGGAGGCACTTGAATTCAGATTGAAGCAGGACCATTTGGTGAAAAATTCATGATGTGCAGATTCTGTTGTTACGTCTACCAAGAGTCTGCCCGTCTACCATCCACTTTTGGTTGCCGGGGCCATCAAGTCCAGGACTTGATTCACCAAAGATTGTCACTCTTGACAGTGCCTAATCACTGTTAGAAGCATTAGATTTCAATAGGTGGGGTCGGGCTTGGCAACAGAAGTGAAACAAAGGAACGCGGAAGGGCAGGAAGGGCAGGAAGGGCACGGCTTCCGCTGGCCCCCTCCGGACTCCACCACTAGAGAGTGGGCGTTTGAGCAAAGAGAAAGGAACGCCCACCAGCTGGCCAACAAAAAGAGCAAAGGAAAGCCCACATCAGGATCCTTTGTCACAGGTTGTTGTACAATGCAGGTCAGATCGTTGTGTTAGATATCTTTAGACAGTCACCCAATGGCCCAATGGTGATCGATTGTGATCGACTCAGACTCGAGTTGCTGACCGAAACATGTCCTGCTGTCGTGACCGAAACATGGCCCGCCCTGCGCACGGCCCTGCGGTCCCTGCGGTCCCTGCGCCTCCGCCTTCCACATTTCAGTGAGAAACTTCACGGATTCTTGATCCGTGTCGTTTTCATCTTCCCACTCCTCTGCAGAACAGATTTCAGCGACTGCGCCCGTTGGAACTTCTGCCAGGTTTCAGGGTGTTTCTGCTTGGGCAGGGTGTTGAGATGTGAGTTGAGATGTGATCGGCTATAAAGATTGCCACTTCAGGGAATTCTTCGACGAACACACCATCGAACTGTGCGTTCGAACACACCATCGAACTTGGGAATTCTCCTTTCGATCAAAGCTCCACTTCACTCAACTCCAGTGTGACCCAAACGCTTACAAGAAAAAACTAACTCCACATTTGCACACCAAGTTCAGCCAACGATCAACACATTGACCAAGGCAACGAAAGGATCTTTTGAAGGCCCAAATCCTAGATTCGCAAGTGTCCCCTTCACATGTCAGCGGCAATTTCAAACCCTTCACATGTCAGACCCAATTAATCAATCAGAATCACTGCTGATGTGGAACATCATGGAACATGACTGATTCGGAAAAAATAAGATCGTCGGCTGCCATGTTGCATTGACGTGATCTGAAAACATCCACACCCGCAGCATCCGCGATCTTTTTACAACTCGCCAGACTCTTTGGGCGATTTGTTCATTTCTGCTTGGAAGGAGGCCTGTAGCAAAGCTGAAAGGGGAAAAACGTCGGGATCTGGGGCCGATCGTCCGATGGAACCTCCTCGCCCGGCGGTGGATCGCTTGGATGGTTTTCACAGGCTTTCGATGTCAAGGAAATAGGTTTCAGGTTCGCTACTAGGGGCTCCTGGCCGTACTACTAGTAACAAGAAGCTACTAGGACTCTTTGGAATGAGTTCGGTCATGCATGGCCCAACTTTACTCCTTTTAGTCCTCCTTCATCCCCCCAGAAAACGGTGGTCACCCCATCCGCCACGGCCACGGCGATTCAGATCGGATCGGCGATCGGCCCGCTCTGGATGCCCTGGAGTTGCAAGACTGCTGCAAGCCGCCCATATCTTCAATTACACTGTTGTCGTGAACTCTGTAACTGACATGGGCATGACACCTCTGTCTTGGAGTAAGACATTGGATGCTGCTTCATCAGCATTCCAACATCAGGGATGTTCCTCTTGTCTTGATTTGCTGGGGCAACAAACTCTCTGATACTCCCTGTGAGGAGTTGTTGAGAGTGATTCTATGAAGGTCCTGCAATGCAGGGGATCTTTGCTTCAAGTTATGCAGAGCTGTTTCAGGGACCAAGCACGAATTAAGCTCAACCCCTCTGACTTCTAGGCTCTCCGACTTGTCTCATCTTCTTGCTGAGGTGGCCTGGAATGTCCTGCTGGTCACGAAGTCACAGCTCTGATCCCAGACCTTTTGTGATCAGTGATGGGTTCTCAAACAAGGACTGCATCAACTCTCCAGATCTCTCCAGATCTTGTCTCAGGCGTCTTTCGGTGAACTTCCGCCACTCTCGGACGAAGTCGAACACGTCCGATGCCGAACATCGACCGGAGCATCGACCGGTTGGTCCCCATGTCCTCCAGGTTTTCGATGGTCCCAAAGAGCTGGAACTTCCGCCACTCCTCACCGGGACCGTCCACGAACCGGGTTCCGGAGTCCGGTTGGGGCGACCGTGCCGCTGAAACGTCACCGGTGACTGCTTTCGTCCATTCCATGTGGAGCTCGTCGACTGCTTTGTGTTGAAGAGTTCCAGCCCTCTTAGTCCCCTTAAGGTTGGGAAAGAAGACCATGGGTGGAAACGGCTTACGGCCAGAATCACGTCTCAGACGGTCACACCTGTTTTGTTTAACAGGAAAATAAACTGATTTGACTGACGCTGAGAAGTTACCTTTGGGTGGGCGTACACAATGAGATTGTCTTGTTGGCCACCATTGCAGCTTGGTCTTGCGACCGAACAGGGAGGGTACACGTCAAGAGCTCTTATCGAACCACCTCCAACTCCTAGCATCAACTTCCTGGCATCAAGTTCCCGTCAAACTTTGATGGCGAAACTAGGCAGTATCAGAGCTTTTGCTAACGGACATGGCCAAGTATCTGCATCTCCGACGAAGTCTCTCCAACATCTAAACATTAGAGTACTTGTAGCAGCAGGTCAGTATATGGGTGTGTATTTTCTTACCGTAGTCGGCCCGGGAAGTTTGAATAGGTGGTATGATTCGAGGGTATGATTCGGGGTATGATTCGGGGGTATGAGTCGAGGGTAGGATTCGCAGCTTTGAAGTTGTATTGTTGGATTTGCTGGACTTCCAGCAGTGGGCCCACTCTGCGCCGAGGCAACAGGCAGATGCTGGGCAGACTAGGCAAATGCACTCTTCCACCAAAGACTCCAGTGGCCCTCTACAAGCCCCACCAAAACTACCAGGATATGGGGTGGGTGGGAGACTGTGTGGAGGTGCGTGATTCGGGTATGAGTCGGGCATGAGTCGGGTGTGATTCGTATGGCCATTAGATTCTGCAAAAGAAGGCGGTCCTTTGGCTCTTCTTCCCAAGGGAGAGCACATGGGAACATTATGAGTACCCCTGGGATGTGAGCCTTTGCTCTTCCCACAAGAAGACACAAACAATTTTGGCCAAATTGAGTGCCCATGGATCACACAATTGCAAACGTCATGCACCATTGGCTCATGGACATCTACAAGGCACAAAGACCAACCAAAAACTTCACCTTAACACCTGGTTCTTACTTGTAACGTTTTGAGGGGTATGATTCGGGGGTATGATTCGAGGTATGATTCGAGGGTATGAATCGCTCAAGTCGAACTTCCAACCACTACATCAGGAAGTACATGCCAAAAAAATACAAACCCATATGTCAGCATGATTCATCGATTGAATCAGCTCCCGGCCTTTGGCGTGGACCGCACCGCCTCAGCTGTCACTGCCGACCTAAGTCGAGTCTTGGCTTTTTGGGGTTGGTGTCCTATCGATTTTGTTCGCTTTGAAGTGACGCAGAGCGGAAACCAGCGGACATGTTCCTAATAATCCTAATATCTGCATGGCTCAACTAGTAGATTGGCCCTGGTGCAGCGCTCTGTCCATCCTCTTCTGGATCCGTGCCGATTCCGATTTCCGGAGGGATTTCCAGGGAAGGCACATCTCCAAATCCGCCGACCCCACACCGTGGGGTGAGGCGTGACTGTCGATGTTAGCCTTAGCCTTAAGCCTTATCCTTAGCCTTAGACCTAGTCCTTAGCCTTAGACCTAGACCTTACCTCCCCTACCCCTCCGGACCCTTGTTGCAGTCACGAAATCCCGCCCTGAAAGCGACCTGAGCGACCCGGGAATTGTCCAAGATTCTGCCATCCCAATTGATTTACATCTTGGGGCACCCTCTCGACCCGCGCGGGAAAATAAGCACGGTCCAAAATGGTCCTGGGCTCGAATCCCGGGCTGGTCGCGGCATGGTCCCGGCCAATGCCCTTGCTTTTTCGTAGATTTTGTCACGTTTTCTGTTTTTGCAGTTTGGCCTGCGAGCGGTCCTCGGCGAAGCGATGACGTCCGATGGTACATCTGGGAGGTACCAAAAAAGTCGACTTTTTGGGTACCTGCTTTTTGTCACGTTTTCTGTTGGCTTATGAGATTTTCAAAGGCTTTTCTGGCATTTTCCTAGGAGTGCTCTAGGCTTTGTCTTTTTGGGT